CCACCCACATCAAAAGTCCCTGAAGTGTCACACTGGTGCCTCGGAAAGATTAGCAGACACACAGCCTATCCAACTCCTTTACTTGTCTCTGTTGGAAATTGGGAATAAAGAGATCTCAGTTACCTTAATAATGGGCTGATAGCAATGGACCACACTCGATCCTCTGTCTGCACTGTATGTAGACACTGCCCAACTCTGCCCACGGACAGGGACCAAACCTAAAGAGAGAGATGCATGTTATGCCACATCACCCAGAAGGTGCAGAAGGTAGGATGCACACTGCTAACACTGTGCTGGAAGAGCTGCCAAAACTGCCATGCTCACCTTCCCAGAGATACTCTCCCTGAATTCCCATTACTTATTTTTGAGGAGCAGAGCTTTCAATCCCTGGCAGAAACAAGCACTTAAAGTTACACAAAGATTCAGCTTACGAGTCTGACCTTCCATCCCAACTGGTAACAGAGAGAGCACCCCCATTACCACATGTTCTCTACAGCAGCACTCACAGAGACTTCTCACGTTCTGTAGTTAAATAAACAAGAAGCGGGATTTGTTCGAATCTCTGCTGTTCTCTTGAACAGCATGGGAAGAATCTGTACCATCCCTGGAAAATTTCCATTCGCATTATCTATACATTCTATAAAATTAATTGTTGGCTATCCTGTAAAATAGGAGTTTTTTTATAAACCCACCCCCTTTTGACCAAATTTCTTAAGTGTACACCAGGGTATTTTCAAACAGGCCCCCCTTTCTCACTGACAATGTGAGAGAATCCCTTCCCTCCCCCATCTGTGCATACATGCACATCCCCTTCCACCAGTTCACCACACACACACTTTTGTTTCTGGGTGCTAATAAAGTCACCCAGATTCTTGCTGGGGCCTCTGCTTGTGGCTCTCATTTTCCCCACTTTGCCCTCATTCTTGGCCCACAGGACTTGAGCCCCCCAGTTTTCTGTAACCGACCCCCAATGTTTCACTTCAAGACTTCAAAGCTGGGAGTGCCCTATTTGTTTGTTTGTTGATAATGCCCAGGATTGCAGGCTATTCTTGTCAGTGGGGAATTTAGCACCTAGTGTCAGCAAAAGCAGCAGAAAAGCTTAACTCTTTTAAGGCATCTATATCTCCTACAGGTTAAAAATATTGCTCAGAGCACACTATCTGGTGCCTATCACACAGGAATGTACATTAGCAGCTCTTCAGGGCTTAGTCCTAATCAACACTCAGCAGAGCCCTCAATAGCTTAGACACTTAGAGCCCCTTTAAAAGGCTGGTAGGGATTCCCTTCCACCCTCCAAGAGTCTCATTCATGCAAACAAGGCAGCCTACAAAAGAGATGATAAAAAATAAGAGGTGAACATCCCTAGAGCCTGTGCTGTGGGGATCACTGGGTGGGCAAGATTTCACACTAGCTTCAAGAAAAACAGCCTTAAATTCCCTTCTGGCTTTCAGGAATTTGTTCTCAAGGTCGGGGAGGTCTGTCCTCCAGCTGCCAGGGAAGCAGCAAGAAGGCACTCTCCCAGCAAAGAGGCTCCACAGATCAGAGGAGCAGCCCTGCTTAAACATAAGACAAAGCAGCATCAAGGCCTTGCTCCCAGAAGGCAAGCAGCATCCCCAACAGTGCCCTTTGCATCTGAACACTGCTCTACTTGGGAGTCTACCCAGGAGTACACCCATACAGATGGACCAACGAGGACAGGGCCATGCTGCTCAGCAGCCTGTCAGAGAGTTACCCATTATCACACACTTCCTATAAAACCTTGAAAGAGACATTTAAATCTTTCTTTGCTACAACTTCCCCTCTTGAAAAACAGGAATAGCAGTTTTTCCTCTTACCTCCATTAATGCTCTACAATACTAAGAGTATCCATCAGCCTACCCTGAGCAACAGCCAATGCTTTTAACATACAGCAACCACTTCTAACAATGAAACGAGTGGTTGTGAAGATGCTACAAGTACTGCATCATGCTAGCAGGACAAGGGTGAAGCACCTATGTGGAGTTTCCTAAGCTACTAAAACACAGCTGGTTACAGCTCAGGAGAACAACTCTCCAGGTCCGTGCAGAAACACAGTGCTGCCAACCAGATCCAGAAGGACAAAAAATCAAGAAGGTCCTGCCCCAGAAAGAAATAGCCAAAAATTACGTGACAGGATTCAGTGATGCCAACTGGAAGAAAAAAATGGGAGCTAACAGTATTCAGTCTAACTTCACTCCTGGTTTGCAAACCAAGAACCATAAAAAAATTTTAAAAAACCAAACCAAAACAAAAAAACCAAACCACAAAGAAAGAAAACACAACCCCACAGATTTGGAAAAGACATCATGCTATCCCTTAAAGGAATTGAATATACAACAAAGAGCATGTAAAGCAGCACTGCACACAAAGCAAGGATGTGCTTGAGATACATATGGCAAATTTCAGACTAACTGGCATGGATCTCCACTACAGTGTTGACAGATGTACAGCAAAAGAAGCAAAACATCATCTGCACTTCCTAATTTAAACCAGCAGCTGATGTCAAAGTACTGCCAAGCCTCTTTCTTAAAAGCTTGGCACAGCAAGCATCTTTTCAGAGACATTAGCTTACACCAAAATACCCAGCTCTCCTCCTGAGGACACACGAGACAGGGCTCACAACTGTTCTGCCGACACTTAAGGATTCACAGCACAAGACCTCTGAAGTCACCTCTGCAGCAGCACCTGCAGCTGCTGGAATATCACTGCTCACCTTTGCTGTTCTGTCCCGGGAGCCGCTGACAATGAGGCCACCTTGGAAGTCCACACAGTTCACCTCCTGTTCATGCGCAGAGAACTTGACGCTGTAGGAGCCATGGATCTTGTGAAGGACAATGTTTCCATCTCTAAAAAACAAATCCCCAGGCAAGGAGTCTATCAGGCAACAAGTCTATCAGCTGCATCCCCCTTGGCCATGCACCTTCCATTAGTGCTTAGGAGTGCCACAAAAAGACCAGTACTGATCTCTCATGGGAGCTGAAATTCATGCAGCATTATTAACCCTCCACTCCTCATACATCACCTGTTCTCTTGCAGTCCCACATCTGGCCAGTCAAAGCCTGATCTGCCACACATAAAAATTTTCCTGGCTATCTTTCCACACTCCACTTTGCATTGAAGTGCAGAAACTAGCAGAGCAGCCATTCCTCCTCCTACTGCTTTGAGCTTGCCAGAATCCTGGCTGGATGCTGAATGGCTGGAGTAAGGGAGCAAGCGAGAGGTCATTCTCACCCATGTCCGAGCCTCAGCTTTTCATTCATTTCAGAGCAGCCATGCAGGGTACTGTGCTTTGAATTAACTACAAAGACATTTAGACTTTTTCCAACCCATACAGTTACTAGAATTTTAAATGCATGCCTTCATTTTCACCTGAATTTTGGGCTACAGTTCACAGGGGAGTCTCAAGATATCAAGGGCAGACAGCCATGCTTGTACCTCCCAATTTTGTGCTTAAGCGCTGTGTATATGAAGAGCTAAAACTTTGTAAATAACAGTTCTGTCATTTGCTGTAATTGAAAAAGGCCAGTCAAATGCAAAATTAATTGGAGAAGTGTGTATGTGCTGGAATGCCTGGCAGTTTTCCCCCTCTCCACAATTATATCAGTAGGTTTAATAAACATATACTTGTCTCTAGAAAGCTTTATGCACCACTGTGGTCCCAGTTAACCAGCAGTTCTGAATATTAGAACACAGCCTAACTACTCTGACTCTAACAGGGGAAGAAATGAAAATTGCACATTAGTCAGGATTGTCTGATCAGCCAATCCTGATTAAACAATCCTGTGGACATCTACACAAGTTCAGAAGAGAAAAGGATGCTTTATAAGGTCAAGAGCATGAGACTCAGCTCCTCCACTGCTATAGTAGAAGCTTCTTCAGGACAGAACTGAATCATAAAGAGAGGAAACAGCAGCAGCTGAACACAGCCAAGCACGAGGACACCGTGTAGCAAGATTGACCCCTCTGCTCTGGGCTGGAGTTACACAAAACCTTTCCAACTTCACTGCCAAAATCCCTGGGCTCCTTCATTCACCCAACTTACCCCCCTCCACTGACGATGTGGGAGTTGACAAGAACAAAGCGACATACGTCCTCCTGGTGGCCAGAGAAGACAGCCTGAGGGTGACGCTGCAAACCTGTACCCTCTGGACAGAGCCGGTAGGCCTGGATGTTCTCCGCTTGAGACAGGTAGAGATACTCGCCATCCAGCTCCATCCAGGGCATCAAACTGCAAACAGACAGCAGGTTTTGGGGAAGAGAAAACAAAACAAAACAAGCCTTATGCCCCCCCCCCAAAAAAATTGCATATGTAAACATGTCAACAGAAGCAAATGGCCACTCAAGAAAACTGTGAAGTTGGAACTGCTAGTCACATGAAAAAGCAGGGCTTAATATAGCAGCACAGCTAAGAAGTGAATCTTCTCCAGCAACACACAAAGCAAATCACACTGCTGGCATTTTTCAACCAAGAGCTGAGGAAAAGGAAGCATGGAATCTCTGAAAGAGAAGATGGCCAAGAGTCTAGTGAGTTTAGATAGGAAATACTTAAGGCTCTCTGATCCCTCTTCATGAGCTCTGTACTTTTTAAGAAACTAGACTGTCAGGCATTTGTGATCTATGCTAAGCATTTCTAACAGAGCCTTCAAAATGAGGCTCTTGGTACAGTCAGTCTTGATCATACACATTATTTGCTGATGCCCAGCCGAGACCACAAAGCTGCCACTGTTTCACCAGTGTCTGAGCAGATCACATCCAATAACACAGGTCTTCCTACAAAGTCCCCCTCCTCCTGCATTCTCTGTATGCTAATACATAAAGCAGCAGGGCAAGCCTTAGGCTGTCCAAGAACTTTATGCTCATCATGTAGAAGAGGTACTTGTCTAAATTCACACCTTTTCCACTGCTGAGCCAAAAGCAATTGCAGAGCAACCTCTCTATTTCTGTTGCCTGTCTTTCAGAAGAGCCCATACACCTTATCTGCCCCTTGCTGTCCATGGGACAATGGCAGCTTCCTACAGACAGGTTCCAGGCCAAGAGCAGCGGACTGCTACAGGAGCTGGTCCAAAGTATTTTGAAGACTGAAGTAGAAAACACACTTCACTTCCTGGGAGACCAAGAAGAGAAGGACACACTCAAGCCATGTCTGAACCAAGTCTGTCATCACAAGAAGTTTGTTTATTCTTGAAAAAAAAGCCAAAATACAGAAAACAGAATAGGCTACAATCCACGCTTAGGCAGCGTGCTCTTTACTCAAGATCTTGCTTTTGTGTAGCCACCAGAGAATCAGCAAATAGGCCTTCTGGATACGGCAAGGCCAGATACAGAGACATGTGGGGCTCATGTCCTATGGGGCATGGATGCATGAAACTGCCTCCACTCTGCAGTCATTGCTGAGTACACCAAAACCCACACAAACATTGAGCAAAAACCAGAGCCTTTCCATAGAGCAACCTTCCAGTTTTCAAACTATTCAGGAACAAACTGTTTTGAAAACAGGGGGGCTTCTCATAAAAACCTGTCTCCCTCTTTTTTGCATATCGTTCATCCTCAGAGGTCATGATTAAATTCTGTGTCAGCAGAGCCATTATGCACAACCGCACCTTATAATATCACAACGAGGGACTAGAAACAAGCAAGAGGACAAGATTGCTTATTAGATAGAAGGTTCCTGCTTGCCTGCATTCATCTCCAGTAACAGGATTTTAGTCACACAGACAAAGCAGTTGAGCATAGGTTATAATGTTCATTTGGGACTTGATCATATGCATGGAAAAAATAAGAGGCATCTCTGGAGCAGCAGCTTTGGTTTTAGGCACACTTTGATTTCCTCTCCCTTCCTCCACTCCTACGCAGTCCTCTAAAAGCAAGTGAATATCCAGCTTACCTAGACTACAGCCAGTTTCTGCAGCTCTCCTGCTGCAGCTTAGCTTTTTACCTTTTTCTATGGCTTTTTCATAAGGAGAAGTAACAAATTTGAAGCAGGATAAATGAAAATTAGAGGATGCGGTTTGGATGGTGGCCTCATTAAATCAGTCCTTGCCTTTTCACTCAGGAAGCTGGTTTAGTAATGATCTCTAACATCCACAGAGCCAGTCTTCACAGATGGTCGCAAGCACTTCAAAGGCAGGTATACAACCTGCACCAAAACCCACTCTGCTCATTACAGCTGTTCCCAGGACTTTAGACAAGCAGTGGCACATTACCCATCACTTCAATCTACACAGCACAAAAAGGCATGAAAGCTCAGTAGCAGGTCCCTGTTCTTCGGCATCTAACAAACCATACTCTCTTATTCCTCCTTCTGTCTGATGATGTGAAGGCTGAAAATTTAGATGTGCTGTTCAGACAAGAGACCTATCTTATGCTTTGCTTTGAATGCTGAGTACACCTTTGCAAGCAAGAATTTAACAACAATGCCCTCTCATTAATGTCAAATATGTTTTTCTTTTTTTTAACTGAAGGAGGGAAGTATAAGGTAGGAGAATGGCAATTAGCATTTTATATTTGTACACCCAAATCAGGGGCCAGGATAAAGCATGGGAGACAAACCAAGCATTTTGAGAGGACACATAAGTCCATGTCTGGGATCAAGGTATGCTCATTGTAAGAGCAGGACTGAAAGTCACTCATGGTATAGAGCAATAGATAGGAACATAACAACTTGAAGTCTGTAGTAAAGTCCAACTAGAACTGCACAGATCAGAACAACGTCAAATTCAAGCCCTTACTAAGAAAGGAGCTCTCAGCTCTCAGAAGGAATCTCTAGGGCAAGACAGCAACTCCAGTTACCCTACATCCAGCCAGCCAGCAACATCCAAAATAGGCCTGAGACATCACTTGCAAGACCCCATGGATCACAAGGAACAGGAAACATCTCATTTCAGGGCACAGACGCAAACCCAAGGACCTGCCAGCAGCTGACACGTAATAAAGTAGAAGAGAAAGGAGCCACTTGCTTGCATTTCCATTTCAGGACCGTCTCCCTCCGGCAGCGTCCGTGCCTCCAGTTCTGAGATACTTTCACCCTTTCCTTCACTGGAATGCCAGCCGCTCTGCAAACAAAGGAAGAGAGATGAGATTAGCAACCAGGACTGTATGGACAACAAATACACTCAAGCTGGTCCAGGAATGCTCTCACTCTGGTTCCACAAACGATGAACTGGCAAATACTGATGATGCCTGAGCCACACTAGAGCAAGCACACTTGTGAGAGTTGACAAGAAAGGAACACTGAGTAGAGAGGATGCTTATCAGCAAGGAAAGCCATCCCTGATAATCACTAGTGTATGAGCCTTAAATCTGATCAAGACCTGATCTAGTATACTGAATGCAACACAAGTTCAGACAAAATGTAATCAAAACAAGATGACACGGAAAGAAACTACCAGAACCACCAGAGAAACAGGACATCATTCTTCTAATAGAGACTAAAGAAAGCCAATTAAGACAAGGACAACAGCATACAAGAACAGATGGAGGAAACACTAATCAGGAGAACACTGAAACTAGAAGCCAGAAGAGTGTGTCTAGCCAGAAGACTAGTAAAGAAACTGCTCCAGACCCTCACCCACCTGACAATCACATAACCAGATACAATAATTAGAAATCAAGATATGTTCAAACTAAAAATAAGATTCATTCATCTGTATAACCACACAATGCACATACACCCCAAGACGGACCATCTTTTGCAGCAGCTCACCAAAGGACAGAGAATTCCACCACATCACTGGAAAATTCTCTACTTACAGTCAGACAAAGTTACTAAAAGAGAGACTGTAGTTCATAAGCTGTTGCTGGGATACAAATCAAAGTTATTGGGACAAGCTGAGACAAGCCAAGATCAACACAGCTCAAGAGGTGACAAAAGGTAGGTACCACAGAGACCTGGGACCAAGGTCTCTTTAGAGTCTACATGAACATATCCAGTTCAAGCAGCTGTTCAACATCTGTTTTGCTTTCATGATCCAGGGTTGATTAAAGAGGGGGGAAAATGGCAGCTTTAGCTCCCATCTTTCTCATATCATAAACTTAATTATTCAATATCCTTGGTGGAGCCGCTTAGGTAGAAAAGTACAAACAAGAAGAAACACTTGAAGCTATCCTTTGTAACTAGGGGTTGTGAACCACTTACTAGATTACAAGAGTTTATCCCCCTTTCATGCATTTCTCAACAGCCAATGTTCCCAGGTACACAGGGTGAAGGGAAGATCCTTGAGAGATCAGGACTGGGCCCCGATCAGAACCTGTTCCCTCCTCCCACTCCTACTGTGCCCTCAATCCACTTCCCAAAAGTGGGATTTTTGGGTACTCTGTCATTTTTAAAACAAAGATTAGTTCCCTGTAAATAAACATCTCCTGTGGTTGTTAATGGGTGTAGGAATCTCTAACCTGGCCCTGGGGCCTGGCCAGATTCTCATTTTCCCAGCCTTCCTTCCATAGCCTCAGGCTCCTTTTTTTCTGCTCACCCTTCCCTCCCCTTTTCTATGCTTTCCGGCACTTAGTCACCATTATAATTTGACTGCATTCCTGGGCATGTGACCCATTTTAAACAAAAACAGAAACCACACACAGAAAAGCCTAGAAAGCTTTGCAACTATAAGTTTATGATCAGTAGAGCCACATCAAATAAAAGTGAGTTTAGGAAGCTACAAGCACTTAAAAAAACCCAAATCAAACCAAAACAACCCCCCCAAAAAAACTATAGAGTTAGCCTAGGCTGCAAGAAGACTAATTCCTTTTTTAAAGAGAACAGTTGCAGGAGCTCGTGGGGCCAGATAGTGTCTGAGATGAGGAATGCACAGCACTGAAAAGTTAGGTCAGGTCCAGCAGCCTCCTCATTGCTTATTACTCTCCCAGACAGAGTTCAGGCTCTCCGCCTACATCCAATTCCATTCATTACTCCAAAACACTTCTCCTCCCCACACTCAACCCTCAGTTAAGTTCTCCCCACGTACAGATTTTAAGTCACCAGCTTGCACAGTGATGGAAAACGCACTCATGTCACAACCCCCTCCCAACACGTCCTAGCCCAACCAGACATCCTGAGCTCAATGCACAAACTCTACTAAGACTGGATGTAATTTCCAAGGCTCCAAAGAAGGTGAATCCAAGGTCAAAAGAGCACCCTCCATCTTGCACTGCTGGTCACTTTTCTAGTGGGGGACAGGCCTTGATCCTCCTGATGCTGAAAGAGGAATTTCAGAAAGGAGTCACACATTGGCCTGGCCCACAGTACCAGTTCACTATTGCAGTTACTCCTGTAACAGACACCTCATTCTTTCATGCAAATCAACAGTTCCTGTCTGGAAGGGCTGAGGGTTGGGTAGGGAGGATTATATGGGAAAGGTCTAGTGGGGTTGGGCGGGGGGAAGGTTGTTTGTTCTGTCTTTTTGTTTGTTTTACTGTCAATATATATATTATTCATTCAGCCTGCCTCCTCCATATAGCAATTCTGGATCCAGCTAATTTAAACGTGTCTTAGAAGCATCCACCTTTTATTTCCCAGACATTTGATTTATTCAAAATAGAGGCAAGAAAGGGGACAGAACATATGGAGGCCATGAGAAAGGGGATGTACAAATCGGACTGTTAGATCCCTCCCCTTTGTCAATACCAGGGCAGCAGAGATTGAACCGCAATGATTTTCAAGTGTTGGTCAGAGACATTTGATCCCCTGTACCAGAAGAGAAGTTAAATCAAGCCCCGTGATGGAATCAAGCACTGAGATATAATTTGATTTGCTTCCTCAACAGCACCCCTCTTAGCAGCTCCCAGAATACATCAAAAAAGGTGATGAGCATCACTGCAATGCATGAGAGCAGTTCTCAAATCTTAGAAAGTTAAAAATGGCATCACCATATAAACTTAATCATTTGATAAAGAGATCCTTTTCTCACCTACAAAGACCATTTTGCTTCAATTATGATCAACACACTTTCTATACATGCAGATCTTTAAGAATCGTTCCATGATGACCTGAGATAATCAACAGACATCACACATCTACACTGAGTGGTTGACTTAACTAAGTACCTCCCATCTCAGCAACTGGATCGAACGATCCAAAGGAGAATCACCCGCCTTACGAAGACAAATGCCATGCCAAACGCTGCAGAGGAACCACTTTCCACCAGCCAACAAATACCTTGACCTTTCTTAGTAAGCGATCCAGCAAAATACTATGCCACATGCTTAAAATTCAGTACATGCTTAAGTGCTCTGTGAAATCAAGATCTTGGCATTCGTGTTCTCAGAGAAGCCACCCAACAGTGAACTTCAAGACTGCTGAAGGCTGACTCACTGAGAAAGGACTGCTATTTTTACCAGGACCTACACAGCCCTGCAATCGGAAAGCAACTGAAGTATAGCCCAACATCCTGGAAGGATTACAGAAAACACGGGATGAAGGAACCAGTGAACACAATGTGAAAACTCAATGAAATTCAAGCAAAAAGTTCTTAAAGCTCAAGGTCCATCATTTTACCACCTCTGCTAGGGTATCGCAATTACCAATAGCTGATGAAGTTACATGATCCAGAACACGCAAGGTTATCTTTGTTATTAGCTAATTAATCCAAAAAGCACTTTATCAAGATCCCAAACCATGTGGTGCAATAAATGACCTGAGCTAACACACATTTTCAATTGCACGCGCTCCTGATGGAAGCTCCCTTTACAAAGACTTTGTTACACTAAGAAAAAGAAGCAGAACATTTCTTACAGCCTGAGAGAGAGTTTCAGGATAAAAGCCATCCCAAGCAACCCATTATAAAGGATTTTTCATTTCCCCCTTCCTACCTCACCCCACCCTACAAAAAAAAGTTAAAGTATTTTGTTCAAATTATGGATTTCCTCTCCTTCTTGGCAGAGTTACCAAAAGAAATACAATATTCCTTCTGGACCCCACTTCCCAGCTGCTGAAGTGAGAGACTGGGACTATACCCTGCAGCACCACTGACCCAGGTGACCTCAGCCACCATGGCCGTTGCTGGCCTGAGCCCCAAAAGAAAGCAACAAAAGAAAGAATCACTCAGCCAGAGACTAAGCACATCTCCTAAAGCTTCACCTCCAGCAGTTTTTGCCTTCAGTGATCTCGGCCCCAGCCAAACTCCTTTGTCACCAGAAATGGTATTTCTGCAATAGCAAGAGCTGCTGTGCTTTAATGCATCCCGGGGAGAGTCCTACTGGCCATCTACAATTTCAGCATGTGCCAAAACACTGCTGCCTGCAACAGCATATACCATGTTACGGAAGAAAACACCAACATGTCATACTGCATATTTTTCCAGCTGCATGGGGCATCCTAACCCACCAAAGTCCTTCACATTTTGCTACATATTAAGTGCTGAAGAGCTCATCTAGAAACGCAAGTCTGCAGAGACCTGCTGAGATCGAATCTCTTGTGTGGACAAAATCTGCTATCTGCATAAAAGCTGTCACCAGCCTGCCTCAGGCCTGACTGGAAGGGTCATACAGAGGAACAAATAGGTCACAGCAGCTAAGCCCCACTTTCAACCTTGGCCCTGTGGCAGGGATGGCTAACACAGGGACCAACTGCACTTATTTGTGTAATCGAGACACACCTGTTGAGTGGCAGGGTCTCAGTGCAGTTGCAAGTCATGGGCCACCAACAGACAGCCAAGAGGGAAAAGCTATTTATGTCAGGAGCTCCTGTTGCTGTCCTCAACAAGTCAGCCGACTTTCAAAACGTCTCTTCCAGGACAAAAATTCCACCTCAATTCCTTTAGCACATGACCTTTATTTAGCTTACCGCCAGGTTCAGTCTGTCTTCTATGCTCACTCCTTTCCTATTTGACATGGTTCAAATAACTCTGAGATGGAAGAGAGCTCTGCAGACTGTTCTCTCACCGTTCCTTGCCTCCTTTGGTGCGTCTATGCTATCTCAGTTAGAAGTTACCAGGCTGTGCAGGTTTAACGTGTCACCTCACAGCTCTCATGAACAATTCACCTGCATGAAGAAGCCAGAGACTCTAAGAAGAACCAGAGCTGCAGGCAAATTTCTGTACGCACAAAGACACACACCTTCACGTAGGCTTCCCCCCAAAAAAAATCATCACCAAGACTGAGCCAGACCACTCTGACATCTGATACCCTCTCCCTTACATGTGTATGCAAAGGGATCATGGCTAGAAACTCCAGGCAGGGTTTGGCCTCTTTCAGGGACTTACGTAGGCTTTTTGGAGGCAAAATCTGGGCTGCTTCAAAAAATGCATAGCCCTGGGAAGATCCGAGAAAACTTGCAGCTGCTCAATCGTTGGCATGCATATGCTGATTTGAAAGAGTAGACTGTCAGGGTAGTATTTGGATAGAATGAAATAACCTATAGCTGCACCTCTACTCTGCTCTGGTGAGACCTCACCTGGAGTACTGCGTCCAGCTCTGGAGCCCTCAGCACAAGAAGGACATGGAACTGTTGGAGCAGATCCAGAGGAGGGCTACTAAAATGATTCGAGGGCTAGAGCACCTCTCTTATGAGGACAGGCTGAGAGAGTTGGGGATGTTCAGCCGGGAGAGGAGAAGGCTGCGGGAGAGGAGAAGGCTGCGGGAGAGGAGAAGGCTGCGGGAGAGGAGAAGGCTGCGGGAGAGGAGAAGGCTGCGGGAGAGGAGAAGGCTGCGGGAGAGGAGAAGGCTGCGGGAGAGGAGAAGGCTGCGGGAGAGGAGAAGGCTGCGGGAGAGGAGAAGGCTGCGGGAGAGGAGAAGGCTGCGGGAGAGGAGAAGGCTGCGGGAGAGGAGAAGGCTGCGGGAGAGACCTTATTGCAGCCTTTCAGTAGTTAATGGGCACCTATAGGAAAGACAGGGAAAATCTTTTTAGTAGGGACAGCTGCAACAGGACAAGGGGTAATGGTTTTAAACTAAAACAGCGTAGATTTAGACTGGATATAAGGAAGAAGTTCTTTACAATGAGGATGGTGAAACACTGGAATGGGTTGCCCAGAGAGGTAGTGGAGGCCCCATCCCTGGAAACATTCAAGACCAGGTTCGATGGGGCTCTGAGCAACCTGATCTAGCTAAAGGTGTCCCTGCTCACTGCAGGGGGCTTGGGCTGAGTGACCTCTAGGGGTCCCTTCCAACCCAAACCATTCTATGATTCTATGATAGCTAGTTCACTTATGCAGGTTACAGGGAAAATAGCAACAAGCACAGCGCATTTTTTTTAAGCCCTGAACTAGATAAAATTTTTCTTCCACTTCGAACTTATGAAGATTTTAAAGGAAAGGGAGGCAGGCCTGAAAGAACTCTTACAAAAAATTTTACATTCCCAGAACAAAAAGCAGTTTCAATATTGTGGAACTGTCCTGGCAGATCTATGCTGCCCAGAAGTAACAGTTTAAGACGGAATAAGAACAAATCTAACAGGAGTTTCTAAAACCACTGACCTTTCCAGCACAAAGCAATAGCTGTGAGCCCTCTTCCAGGCTTTTGCTGTTATTGCAATATCCTCCCCAGAGTATTCCCCTCTGCATCATCTGCACCAGTTCATTGCCTACTTCATTTCTGACATAAAGTAATGAAACTTTGGTAAAACAAGTTTTAAAAGATGAAGGAAACTGAAGCAGCTTTACAGGCATTCACACTCCCTCCCCCTCCAATACTGAAGGCAGACGTCTCCTATGATTGCTGCAGTTTGCATTTGGATTTGACTTGCATAGATTGGCCATTTCCTGCTCCTGCAGGTGTATATATTTTTCCAAGATCTGGAGAAAACACAGCTTTTATTAAGTCACAGAAATGCTTACACAAGCGCTTAAATACTCAAAGATGATAAATTTGTCCATTAATGAATCTGCTTCTCTGAACTGGAGAATATACCATGATCCTAGTGGGCAAGGCAGAACAGGAGACAGGGAGAGAGAAAACATGCAGTGGAACATTTCTATATTTTGACAACAGCTATTAATATATTACAAAGAGCACATTGTCAAGCTATTTAAGTTGCAACTTTTAACTTGCCCTCTAAAATTCCTTTGTAACAAAGAGGAAGCAAGTTTAGCCCAGCTGCAACTTTATTCCTTTCTTCCATGCTTTAAATAAAGAACCACCTTGCAATGAGCTCTTTGCCTCTCCGATTTCTCCAGTCCAAGGTGGTCCAGCAGGCAGGCACTGGATGAAGGCTTAAAGCACCCTCTGCTATTCCTGGCTCTGACACTGACCTGCTGCACAGAGGGCAGCTTGGTTGACATCTCCCTGCCTCCGCTTCCCCTCCCAGCCCTTGTTTATCCTGGCTATTTAGGCAGCAAGCCCGTCAGGGCAGAGACTGCTCTTGCTGGGCCTGTACAACAGCTGGCAAAACAGACACAGGCTACCAGACGCAACTGTAATATCACTATACTTACCAAAAACCCCAAAGGCTTTGTGCTACTGCTCAGCTACAGTTTAACTGCAGAAAGTGTTCTTAAGCCTTAACTTTTCTGTGATATGCTGCCATGCATTTTTGGAACAAAAATGTTCCATTCACCTTACATCATGAAGACAGGGCTCAACTCTTGCTTCAGCAGCTCCTATGACTGAGTGAAGCAAAAATCTTCAGCACAGGGACTATCTTTTTACCATCCCCATGACAAGGTCTTGGTGCAGTACAGGTCTATACATAAAATTAACATGACTATACAGAACAAGTGCAGCCTGACAGAGAGACTTGTAGGACAGGTGCCAAGAACCACATCCATCTAAAACCACTCCATACTTCCATAATACTGACACGATATTGTATTAAGCATTTGCTTACTGCTGACTCAAGGAAGAAACAGCACATTTTTAACACTAAGGCTGTGTTGTAAGAACCCTTCCAAGCCAGGCCCTGCTGTCCCTAATACACAGTGATTCACACTGATGCGAACCTAGTGATTCCCCTCCCCAAGGAATGAAGCGTACAGAACCACTGCTGAAAGCAAACTTCTTTCTTCTTCTGCAAGTGCATGATTGAATCAATGACTTAAATACTTCACTTACATCTGCAGCTCCCGATTAGCTGAATCTACCAGAAAGGGCAAATATGAGATTGTCAGTGTTGTGAATATGCCTTCAGCGTAGCAGCTAGTGTCTGGGATGAAGTCCACATCTTCCTTTGACAACATTAGCAAATCAATTTAATATTTTTTAAGCCTAAGTATATGTCCTGAGATAACCACAGCTGGCAATTTTTAAAGGCAGATAGCCAGGATGAGAAGTAGATAGTTTTAAAAATTAAAAATCATTTCAGGTATACTACAATTTCTCTTTTCCATGCTCCTAACAGCTAGGGTTTTGCAACCAGTTTCTTATAAACTTTCTCTCTTCCCTATTTCGGCATAAAGAAGTTTTACAAGCAAGCTGACTGCACAAACAGTTGCTTCACATACAAGCTAAAGCTTGTTCCCTCTGATCTTCCTGTTACAATTATCTGAAGATACACCTAGCAGAAACAACATTTTAAAGAAATGGTGTCATTTTCAAGTTAATCACCCTTTTAAAAAATGGGAAAGTGGGGGCGGGGGGATAAGTTTCACAGCTATCTTACACTCTAGGCTCAAATTTATCTCTATTTACAAAGCATTAACAGATGGCTTATCAAAAGCCATTTAACAGCAGAAATGATCAAACTATGCTGAGATTTTATTTTTTTTTTAAACAGTAAATACTCCCTAGACTAGTTTTTAACTTATGCCAGCCTCCCAGGGACCATCAGTTTAAGATCTAATGTTAGAACCATGCACGTTATTTCATTAAGTACATTTACCATAAACGGTTCCAACCTTTGCTTTCTCAATTGCGGATGGTATTGCACAAAAACCTCTTGAAAGCAAAAAAATCAGCATTCACCTCATGCAACGTTATCCAGAATGTGCAACAGAAGCTTCAGCTCTTGCGTGAGTCAAAGCCAAGCTTGACAAACTCAAGATTTACTCTGTATCACTAAGAAAGCACAGTTATCAAGAAGGTCCAGCCATCCATCATCTTCATCACTGTTCTATTCACCTGA